GGCTGCGCTCTGTGAAACTGTCGCCATTTTCGAGGCCTGCTGGGGGGCCCAGCACAGTGAGGGCCACGGGCAGATTCAAATTAGACCTCGCCATCCCTGGGGGGCTGCGATCTGTGAAACTGTCGCCATTTCGAGGCCTGCTGGGGGGCCCAGCACAGTGGGCCACGGGCAGATTCAAATTAGACCTCGCCATCCCTGGGGGGCTGCGATCTGTGAAACTGTCGCCATTTTCGAGGCCTGCTGGGGGGCCCAGCACAGTGAGGGCCACGGGCAGATTCAAATTAGACCTCGCCATCCCTGGGGGGCTGCGATCTGTGAAACTGTCGCCATTTTCGAGGCCTGCTGGGGGGCCCAGCACAGTGAGGGCCACGGGCAGATTCAAATTAGACCTCGCCATCCCTGGGGGGCTGCGATCTGTGAAACTGTCGCCATTTTCGAGGCCTGCTGGGGGGCCCAGCACAGTGAGGGCCACGGGCAGATTCAAATTAGACCTCGCCATCCCTGGGGGGCTGCGATCTGTGAAACTGTCGCCATTTTCGAGGCCTGCTGGGGGGCCCAGCACAGTGAGGGCCACGGGCAGATTCAAATTAGACCTCGCCATCCCTGGGGGGCTGCGATCTGTGAAACTGTCGCCATTTTCGAGGCCTGCTGGGGGGCCCAGCACAGTGAGGGCCACGGGCAGATTCAAATTAGACCTCGCCATCCCTGGGGGGCTGCGATCTGTGAAACTGTCGCCATTTTCGAGGCCTGCTGGGGGGCCCAGCACAGTGAGGGCCACGCGCGGATTCAAATTAGACCTCGCCATCCCTGGGGGGCTGCGATCTGTGAAACTGTCGCCATTTTCGAGGCCTGCTGGGGGGCCCAGCACAGTGAGGGCCACGCGCGGATTCAAATTAGACCTCGCCATCCCTGGGGGGCTGCGATCTGTGAAACTGTCGCCATTTTCGAGGCCTGCTGGGGGGCCCAGCACAGTGACGCCACGGGCAGATTCAAATGAGACCTCGCCATCCCTGGGGGGCTGCGATCTGTGAAACTGTCGCCATTTTCGAGGCCTGCGGCCATCCCTGGGGGGCTGCGATCTGTGAAACTGTCGCCACTTTCGAGTGAGCCACGGGCAGATTCAAATTAGACCTCGCCATCCCTGGGGGGCTGCGATCTGTGAAACTGTCGCCACTTTCGAGGCCTGCTGGGGGGCCCAGCACAGTGACGCCACGGGCAGATTCCTCTGAAACCTCGCCATCCCTGGGGGGCTGTGATCTGTGAAACTGTCGCCATTTTCGAGGCCTACTGGGGGGCCCAGCACAGTGAGGGCCACGCGCGGATTCAAGTTAGGCCTCGCCATCTCTGGGGGGGCTGCGATCTGTGAAACTGTCGCCACTTTCGAGGCCTGCTGGGGGGCCCTGCACAGTTACGCCACGGGCATATTCAAACGAGACCTCGCCATCCCTTGGGGGCTGCGATCTGTGAAACTGTCGCCACTTTCGAGGCCTGCTGAGGGGCCCGGCGCAGTGACGCCACGGGCAGATTCAAATGAGACCTCGCCATCCCCTGGAGGCTGCGATCTGTGAAACTGTCGCCACTTTCGAGGCCTGCTGGGGGGCCCGGCACAGTGACGCCACGCGCGGACCCAAATTAGACCTCGCCATCCCTGCGGGGCTGCGATCTGTGAAACTGTCGCCACTTTCGAGGCCTGCTGTGATCACCATTTTCGAAGTGGCTAGGAGTGCCCAGGAATTGTAACTCATCAGCTTTATCAAGCCCTTTTCCTGTAGCCAGTGTCCTGCGAGTCTCCCGAATTCCGTCTGCAGACATATGCAACCCTCGCTCCGTCATCGCCCCCTTATAAAGTATCCTAAACTATTTGCGCCCCGCTTTTGCGCAGGGGTTGGGTACGTCGCCAGGGTAATTTTTCCAGACGCTGGAAAGTTGTCGGAAAGCCGGGCAAAGTGGAATCCCCGAAAGTTTACGAAAGGATACAAAGGTTAGAAAAGTAATTTTCGGGGATGATCCGCTGGCACGCGACCCGGCCTGCGCCGGTTCTGGGGGGGTTAGGGGTGCGGGGGGAGGCGGCACGATTTACCCCCCCCCGCATCAGTTCAGTGCACGCACTGATGGGGGAGACTGACGGTGAGATCCATAGGGCTCGTATGACTCATAGGGCTTATAGGGCTCGAAGCGCTCACAGGGCTCATATGGCTCATAGGGCTCATAGGGCTCATAGCGCTCACAGGGCTCATAGGGCTCATAGGGCTCACAAGGCTCATAGGGCTCGTAGAGCTCAGAGGCCTCACAGAGGCTCAGAGGGTTCCCCAGAGGCCCACACAAGGGAGAGCAGATCCGCCGCACATAAAACTCTTTTACATCCAGCGGGCCCTTTTGGCTCCCAGGAGGGTCCGCGAGGGAGGGCAGACCCGCTGCACTTAGGAACACCCTAAGTGCAGCGGGCTGTTTTGGCCCCGGGCGGCCCTCATAGGGCTCTAAGGGGGTCTCACAGGGCTCATAGGGCTCGTAGGGCTCAGAGGCCTCACAGGGTTCAGACGGTTCCTGGGAGGCCCACACAAGGAAGAGCAGGTCCGCCGCATTTGAAACTCCCTCAAATGCAGCGGGCCCTTGTGGCTCTGGGGAGCGTCCGCGAGGGAGAGCAGACCCGCTGGTCTTAGGAACCCCTTGATTGCAGCGGGCTGTTTTGGCTCCCGGCGGACATCCTCGCAACTCTGACCTCGGATATGCTTTGCCCCATGGCGGCTTGGCCGCTTTCGCCTGGGTCACGAGATGCCCTGGGCGTAGGTGGTCGGGCCATTTTCGCCTGAGACATCCTCGCACCTCCGGTTTCCGAGATACCTTCAGCTGCGGTGGTCAGCCCACTTTCGCTTGAGACATCCTCGCAACTCTGATCTCGGAGATGCCTTGCCCGATGGTTGTCCAGCCGCTTTCGCCTCAGACATCCTAGGAACTCTGGTGTCCGAGGCCACTTTGGCCTGAGACATCCTCGCAACTCTGATCTCGAAGACGGCTTGTGCGCGTCTTGTGCGCGTTCACTCTTCGCTAGACCACTAGGATTCCTGAAGTGACCTCGCGAATCGTGCCGCTGTAGTGCCCCCGAAAGGTTCCCAAGATGGCGCGAGAGGGATTTTGAACAGAGGATGCCCTGACAGGATGCGCCCATTCACGCTCCAAAACGGGCTCGCGACTTTCCCACGACGTCGCCAGAGGATTCAGCATGGCTCTTACGTAGACACCCACTTGCAGGCCGCACGTCCACGAAATGTCCGGCGCCCGCCTCGTGCACCGACTTGTCGGCCACCTGGAAAGTTACTTTCGACTGCCACGGGAAGTTACAAAAGTGAGAAAAGTAACGTTCGGGCTCCAGAAAAGTTGGCCCGGCCCCAGGTGAAGTTGACAAACTTACTTTTCGGCGAGGCCGAAAGTTGGTCAAAAGTCGGGGAAAAAGTAACTTCTCGGGGAGGGGGCCTGGAGCCCGAAAGTTGCCGAAAAGTAACTTTCAGGGAGGGGCGGAAAGTTGAAACAAGTTGTTTGTTGAAAGTTAAGGTTTTCTTTGGAAAAGTCGAAACAAAGTTATATTCGGGGGCCTGGATAGTTGGAAAATGTTGGAAAATAACTTTCGAAAGTTGCCCCCCCCCGAGGAGCCAACTCGAAAAAGTAACTTTTCGGTGGGGGGGGCGCCCCATTTCCCAAAAGTTGCCGAAAAGTAACTTTCAGGGCAGGCCTGAAAGTTGGAACAAGCTAAAAAGGTTAAGGGTTTTGACTAAACATTGAAAAAAAGTTACTTTCCGGAGGCCTGGAAAGTTGGAAAAAGTTGAACAAGTAACTTTCGAAAGTTGCCCCCCTGGGGGCCCAACTTTCGGGAAGTCTTCAGGAGCCTCTATCTCGTCTTGAAACCGCCTCGGACTATACGCGGAGGGCTGCGGAGACCAGCCAGGACTACCCGACGAGGGCCAGTCTGTGCGCGACCCGCATCGCTCGTCTTGAGGCCGCCTCGAACTTACGTATACCCTGGGGGCTGCGGAGACCAGCCAGGGCTACCCGACGAGGGCCTGCCCCCCGCCCCCGGGCGACTCGGCATCACCCAAGCGTGCTCATGCTCTGTGTGCGTCGGCTACACATTGTGGAGGGGCAAGATCCTTTCATTTCTAATTCTTCGATCCTGGGCCTCTTCCTGGCCACTAGGGGGCCAGGAAGAAATAGAGACGAGCAGAATTAGAAATGAGCACGATTAGAAATGAACGACGTGTACGCATCGCGACGCGCGCGCTCGGAGATCTTCTGGTATACGATCGGTGGCGGGCGCGTTCTGGCAACACCGCCTGGGCAACGACGCGCTGTGCGAGGTGTCTGCTTCACGTTCGGTTCGGGCATGCGCTCCCGAGGAGGGCGCATGGTTCTAGTATGTCCTTCTGCGTCCCGCCGGAGGTGGGTTGGGAGAGGGATGGGGGTCAGCCTTTGGAGGGCAAGGTCTGCCTGCTTCTAGCAGATCAACATCTGGGGCCTGTGCCAAATACCGCTCTCGCTGTCTAGCCACAAGCGTCTGCAGGCACACTAGAGGCCGTTGAGGGTAGGCCCGTCTACCGTGTGCTCCTCATATTGAGAGCAGACCCCACCTGGCAATGACTCCACGGGCAGCCTCGGAGGCCTTCGTGGACCACCTGCCGCTCCCGCTACGGCGTGAAGAGAGCCAGGGGCCGCGGCGGCCGCTACCCAAGGCGGCGGCGGCGGCCACGCTGGCCGCGGCGCCGGCCACTGCCCACGGCGGCGGCGGCGGCCACGCTGGCGGTGGCGCCGGCGGCGGCGGCGGCAACGGCGGCGGCCACGCCAGCGGCGGCGGCGGCCACGCTGGCGGCAGCGGCCGCAGCGGTGGCGGCGGCGGCGGCAGCGGCCACGATGGCGGCGGCGGTGACGGCTACGGCGGCGGCGGCGGCGGCGGCCGCGTCGGCCAAGCTGGCCGCGGCGGCGGCCACGGCGGCGGTGTCCCGCCCGGCGAGGTGGACTCGCCGTGGACGCCGCGGTCTGGCTCCGTGTGCTCCGCCTGCCTCTCCGCGGCGCCCTCGGCGTGCGCGTCGCCTTTCAGCCCGTCGCGCGCGAGGGCGCCTGGGGCGGCGCCTGAGCCCGCCGAGAGCCTGGCCGCGGCCGTGCTGGCCGCCACACACATGCGCTGCGGCGAGGGCGCGCTGAGGCGGGGGGCGGCTGCAGCCTTCGGCTATTTTCTCTCTCAATCATCCGCGCTCCTCCGCGCTCCTCCTCGCTCCTCGCTTTTCCTCCTCCTCGCTCCTCCGCCTCCTCCTCCTCCTCCTCCTCCTCCTCCTCCTCCTCCTCATCACCATCACCATCATCGTCATCATCATCATCATCATCATCATCATCATCATCATCATCATCATCATCATCATCATCATCATCATCATCATCATCATCATCATCACCACCACCACCACCACCACCACCACCACCATCATCATCATCATCATCATCATCATCATCATCATCATCATCATCATCATCATCATCATCATCATCATCATCATCATCATCATTGTCGTCGTCGTCGTCAGCATCAGCATCAGCATCAGCATCAGCATCAGCATCAGCATCAGCATCATCATCATCAGCATCAGCATCAGCATCATCATCATCATCATCATCATCATCATCATCATCATCATCATCATCATCATCATCATCATCATCAGCATCATCGTCATCATCATCATCACCATCATCATCGTCATCATCATCATCACCATCATCATCATCATCATCATCATCATCATCATCATCATCATCATCATCATCGCTCCTCCTCATCGCTTATCCTCCTCCTCCTCCTCCTCGCTCCTCCTCCTCCTCCTCCTCCTCCACCTCGCTCCTTCTCCTCCTCCTCCTCCTCCTCCTCCTCCTCCACCTCGCTCCTCCTCCTCCTCCTCCTCCTCTTTCTCCTCCTCTACCTCCTCCTCCTCCTCCTCCTCCTCCTCCTACTCCTGCTCCTCCTCCTCTCGCTCCTCCTCCTCCTCCCACCTCGCTCCTCCTCCTCTCGCTCCTCCTCCTCCTCCACCTCGCTCATCCTCCTCCTCCTCTTCCTCCTCCTCCTCCTCCTCCTCCCTCCTCCTCCTCTTCCTCCTCCTCCTCCTCCTACCTCCTCCTCCTCCTCCTCCTCCTCCTCCTCCTCCTCCTCCTCCTCCTCCTCCTCCTCCTCCTCCTCCTTCTCCTTCTCCTCCTCCTCCTCCTCCTCCTCCTCCGTCCTCCCTCCTCGCGTGGGCCCCGAACAATTCCGCGAGGAGCGCCGCGCGGGGGCGATGTCCGGGCAGGGCTCGCGCCGCCGAGCCTTGCACAGGGCCGCCTCCAACGACAGGTTCTGCTTGATGCGCCGAGCCCCCCCTGTTGGGCCAGTCGGGACGCAGGGCTCCTTCTTTTCCTCCTCGCACCTCCTCCTCCTCCTCCTCCTCCTCCTCCTTCTCTTGCTCCTCCTCTCCTCCTCCTCCTCCTCCTCCTCCTCCTCCTCCTCCTCCTCCCCCTCCTCCTCCTTTTACTCCTCCTCCTCCTCCTCCTCCTCCCTCCTCCTCCTCAACCTCCTCCTCCTCCTCCTCCTCCTCCTCTCCTCCTCCTCCTCCCCCTCCTCTTGCTCCTCCTCCTCCTCCTCCTCCTCCTTCTCTCCTCCTCCTCCTCCTCCTCCTCCTCCTCTTCCTCCTCCTCGTCCTCCTCCTCCTCCTTCTCCTCCTTGTCCTCCCCCCCTCCTCCTCCTCCTCCTCCTCCTCCCTCCTCCTCCTCCTCCTCCTCCTCCTCCTCCTCCTCCTCCTCTCCTCCTCCTCCTCCTCCTCCTCCTCCTCCTCCTTCTCTTGCTCCTCCTCCTCCTCCTCCTCCTCCGCCTCCTCCTCCTCCACAATTCCCAGACCCCCATGAGTCGTGTTTTTTTCACGACGCCTGGTCTTGTCTTGTTTTTAAAGCACGACGTCATGGAACAACAATTTTGCGAGAAAAAACAAGACACGAGAGAATCGAAAATAGCTCAATTCAGCGAGAATTCGAACGTTGATGAATTGAACGGGGTTTTCGCGGATTCAAAGGCAAGAGAGCTGTAGAGTTCCGCTACCAGGTAGGCCTACTGTCCTCGACGCCCACGCGCTGCGTCATGGCCTACAGGCCGAGCCAACAGCGAGGAGGAGGAGGAGGAGGAGGAAGAAGAGAGGGAGGGGAAAGAGGAGGAAGAGGGGGAGGAGGAGGAGGAGGAGGAGGAGGAGGAGGGGAGGACTAACGATCAGGAAGGGAGGAATTAACGAGGAGGACGAGGGGCAGGGCAAAGAGGACGGGCAGGAACATGAACAGGGAGTCCTCAATACAGTTGTCGTGATATTTGGGCGCCACGGTCTCGCCTGGGGTACGTTGTCCTATATCGTTTCGGGGTCGTTGCTCCCGCTGCAAGTGAATCGTTGAGGGGCTTCTGTGTTATAGCTCAGCGGCGATATCGAACATCGATCGGTCGATCATCGCCGCTCGGCTCTGGGATGGGGCCCCGCGGGGGCCGTTTTGGCGGCGGCGGCGGCGGTGGCCCTTGCCATCGCGCGTGAATCCTCGGCTCCTCTAGCCACGCCCATGTGGGCCATCTGTCAACGAACAAACTGCACGTCGATTTATCGCTGTCGGGCCGAGGGGTATAAGTTGGAGGAGGAGGAAGAGGAGGAGGAGGAGGAGGAGGAGGAGCAGGAGGAGGAGGAGCAGGAGAAGGAGGAGCAGGAGGAGGTGGAGGAGGAGGAGTTGTCCCTGCTCCTGCTTGTTGGGCCCTGCTCCTGGTCGGAATCCGTTCCCCAGGCGGGCGGGATGATGAGGGGGGGGGGAAAAAAGGAAAGGAGCAAGAAGGCGAAAGAGGACTAGGATGAGGACGACGAGGAAGATGACGAGCAAGCGGACGAGGAGCCCGAAACCTGGCTTCGGAGCTGCGCCCTGTGCTTGTGCCCTGCTGCATGCCGACCCCGCTCCCACGCTCACGTGTTTTGCAGCCGATCGACAAGGTTTCTGTCGTTCAGCCGCAGCAGGCGCTCGAGAAGGGGAACCCTCATCCAAGTAACGTCCTCAGTACTAGTTAACGTCACCATCGATGATCATCAATAGCACTGCCATCATCATCATCATCATCATCATCATCATCATCATCATCATCATCAGCATCATAAACACCAACATCACCATCATCATCACCATCCTCATCACCATCCTATAATTCAAACCATAAGCGTCATCACATCATGTCCCTCAAGACGCCTGGACAACCCCGAAAAGCAGGAGTCGGTCAACGCAGAAAGCGGCCGAGCCCCTCCTTTTCTCCAGCGGTCGATATTTGATTGTGCGTAGTCCGATCCGGCCCCCCGAGATCAGATCTCAGGGAGGACCTTCTCGAAAAACGCAGAATAAAAAGTCGAACCGCCATGGAGGGACTTGGCAACTTTCTGCATCAATCGATTCTCTGCTTCGTTGGGGTATGTCCAGTACGCCTTTGGGTTGCCCTTCTCGGCGACTTGCTGGGCAAGGTGAACAGCGACGTGAAACTTGAACACTTCGTGCCCTCTGTGCTCCTTCCATGCACGCAAAAATGCAAGCATGCTCGTCTGCAGCGAGAAGGAAACATGCATGTGCGCCCGCCCAACATGCGAAACCCAAGCCGACTTGACCCGAATCCAGCAAACACGTGGCAACAGAGGCGAAACCCAAGCCGACAAAAACCGAATCCAGCAAGAACGTGGCACCAGAGGATTCAAGACGAATCCAGCAAGAACGTGGCAACAGAGGATTCAAGACGAATCCAACAAGAACGTGGCAACAGAGGGTTCAAGGCGAATCCAACAAGAACGCGGCAACAGAGGGTTCAAGGCGAATCCAATATGAACGTGGCGCACGAGGGATCGAAGTCCCATCCATGACGTGGCATGCGCCCCATGCGCGGTCCCATCTCGCTTATGAAGGGTATGCGCAGCCGTGGCCTGCATATGGCGACCCTCTGCCCTGATGCACTTGTACACAGTGGCCAGGTGCCCGCATGCAACTACAAGAGACGCCTTGCGCGGGCCGAGACACCCAAGGAATTCACGACAAAGCATGGGGAGCAGCGGCACCAAGGTTCTCGTCTCGGCCGCTTTGGCCTTGAGCCGTGGAACCTTCCCCTGCGTCGCAGGCATGAACATTTTTAAAGTCAATCTGCCGATCATGCTCTTAGCCCCTTTCTTTTTGTTTGCTCCAGTGAAAACATAGAACGACCGTATTCTGCGCCGAAGTGCAAGCAAGTTGCCGCGCCACCTTTGCGCTTGTCTGCCCTTGCCAGACTGAGCAAAATTGTTCTTGATCAAAAAATAAAATATTTTGGCAATCGCATACTGCGTCACTCCTAAATCCATAATGTGCATGCCATCCAACATCAATGTATGGATAGACGCGCCTTTAATTTGAAACAGAGCGCACACGCGATCCAGACCTTGATCATTCACTGCGTTAAAGAAGATCAGATCCGCTGGTGTTTGGACCTCGCTCAGGCGATGGATGTCAGGCGCGTCGTCGTTCTCAATTAAACGGCACCCCTTTGGTAAGTTGAATTCAGGGAGCACGCGCTGTGTGACCAGTCCTCCAGCCTTCTCATCGATTTTCGAATTCCTGAGTAAACGATTTGGGGCTTCTTCTGTTGCTACATGGACGTCCTTGACCGAATTATCCAGCATCAGTTGGTATCTTGCCTTGTCTCGCAGGTTCCATGGGAGCTGATGCATAGCCACTGGATGCTGAAATCAATTTTCTTTGCGCACGTCACAGCAGAAACGCGGATTGCGAGGGTTCTGCCACGTTTTGAAACCCAGCGCGCCTGTCACTTCGAGGAGATCCATCCGGATCTCAGTCAGGGCTCCCCTCCACCCTTGGGCGAGGCCAAATCCACGCCAGAGCTCCCTGTCACAGCTAAAAGGCATGTTGTTGTGATCTCGTCCTGGGAGTTTTCCTCCGGCCACCGCTTGAAAAGACCACTTCAGGACACGCTGGATGAAACCGAAATTACAATTCCCACCACAGCCACACTTGCACAAGTCCTGCTTGCGCAAGGTGCAGAGCAGGTACCGTGTCTGGCTAAGACCTGAGCTCATGTAATAACAGTAAAAACTATCACGCTTTGTATGGGGCACCGCGTCAGAGAAATAACCTAAAGGC